CAGGTCCTTGGAGGCTTTCATCTTAGCAGAACAACTTCCTCCTCCTTACAATCACATAAATAAATCTATTTTCTCAACACCTCATCTGTAAACAGAGTATGCAATTGCTGAGGTCTCCTCTTGAGATGCCACATGGCCCATACACACCTGCATTGTGATTGGGTTACTGAGGTTCTTAGAAATGCCTCTGCCCGAATTAAGGTGCAAAGGAGTCCATATACCAGTGACAATAGTATGGGTTTTATTTAATAGTAAATATGGGGGGTGGGAGAGAGAGAGAGAAAGAAAGAAATAGGAAATAAGTTGGGGTGGGGTGGGGAGACAGAAAGGGGTTGACAGAGACAGAATAAGGAAAATATCACCACTCTGTGGATCCCAGCTATGTTCCATTGATTCTGTCCTTGGTGGTGAAGGTCCCCCCAAAAAGCACAGGATTGGATGGTTCATGTAAGCTCTGGCCTGGTAGGAAAATCCAGGCACCTCCCTGGATGTGCCTGGGAGGTGCCTGGATTTGCCATTGTCTCTTACAACAGACCACATTTGTTGCATCACATGCAGTCCTATGGTGCAAGGCCTCAGGAAAGATTCTGGTGGGCACTTTGAAGGGCCTTTGACACCCCCTCAGCTGACAAAACACAGAACATTTTAATGGATAGAAACAGTCATGGTAGAGTTAATTTTGTCCCACTGGGGGAAAAGGAAGCAGGGTCAGGCTCTTTTCTAAGATTATTAATATTACTAGGAGGGGAGAGATTATTTCCTAAAAAGACACTTGTCAGGCATATCCTCAGAGGCTTCACACCACTCTTTTGAAAGCAATGGCTGGTGGGACCTTAACACATCAGGACTTATATTTAGCAAAGGCCATCTGGTTAGTTAACACCTGATGCTCACCACCTGAGCTGGCCCTGCCCATCCAAAACTGCACATACACCGGGACGGGAGGTGTTGCAGTGGTCACACGCCCTATAACTTGGGGTAATATCTGTTTGACTGAAGACAGGCAGCTGTAGTTGCTTCCTTTCATGCAGTTTACCACAGTGGGAATTTTTGTCTGGATGCATTAACCAGGATGTGAGAACCAGACCTCCTCTCTGTCAGGTCTGGAATTAGTGCCATTCTGAAACAAATTTCTCCCTTTTGTGTTTACCTCAATTTCCCATTGTGGTGGCTTATTTTACAACAAGTTCCTACTGGGGCCTTGACAGTGTTTGACTGGGTCTTTTTTAAGTGGTTGCACTCGGGGTAAATAGGTTTTCTTGTTCATAACCACTTAATCCATAATTAAAACAGCAAACTGTTTTGGAAGGTGTGTTTGGTACATTCTTTTGTGTCCCTATACTTCTTTTGCCTTTGTCTCCTGGTCAAATCTTAAGCATCTGTTTTGAATTAAGTGTCCAGATTTTCTTTTTGATAGCATCAGCTTAACACAGAGAAACTATGTTTCCCCTGAAGCCTTACCATCAGCAGTGGCATTATCCCTGCCTTCTGACCCTGACCTTTGCACTATGAGGAGCTCCCTGTGACAAAAACCTCCTGTCAGGAAACATGGACTTCCATTTGTCTAAAAATATAAACCAGGAAAATATTCCTAGTGAGAAATCCAGAACTTTTCTAAGTTTCACCTGAACTGAATGCTAGCCAAAAGGAGATAGATGGATAGATGATGGATAGATAGATAGATAGATAGATAGATAGATAGATAGATAGATATAGATAGATAGATAGATAAACCCTGCAGTATTCTTTAAACTTTGAATCTGCTATCTTCCCCAGCACACCAGAAAGTAAACCAGAAGGTAATCTTGTTTCTTACAAAACATAGCTCTTTTATTTTCACTTAATATTTTCTACAATTTTATTTGTCAAAGCAGAATAAAGTCATGTAGAGAAGACAAGAAATGTGAGAGACATGTAAATTTCACAAAAGAAAGAGCAAAAATGCCTTTGAAAGTATGTGAGAGGAAGAAAAGAAAACATACAAATGACTATAAGCTGGTTTTGGAATTCCAAGATGTCAACAAAGTCTGTGATTAGACATTATGTGGTGATCATTATGCCTCATGCCTTGAACAAACCCCTCATATCAAGACTGCTCAGAGCAAGACCTGAAGCCAGTTAACTTCCATGTCAAAAGCAGTTACCCTGTCTAGTCTCAACATGTATTAAATGAAGAACACAAAGTACACTGTCCAGAAAACCCAAGGCAGAAGTTCCTAAAACTGCAGTACTGGTGTTACATTTGCTATGGCACCCAAACTCAATAATGGCGCACTAAGAAGTATGCAGGGAGAGAAATAGTCTCATCCTTCAGGAAAAAGTTATCATACCTAAATATTTTGCAGAAACGAGTTCTATAAAGTAAAAGTCCTTTCACAAGTGGCATTACTGACTCAAACTAACTCCTTGTAAAATTGTTGGATATTGCAGGTGGAGACTCTGATCAGCTAAGCCTGAATTTTTATTAGTTTTAGTTTGGACACTGACAACTGATCTAGATGTGGTAAAACTATTCTAGTAGTTTGTGTGCACACACAGAAATGCCACAAGTAAAATGCGTTGTGAGGGAGAGAGATGAGAGCTTCCATTACAAATTTCTTCCCTTTAAAAGCATTAATAAACATATTGGACAGAAACAAAAAATAAAGAAACAAACAAAAAAAAAAAACCCAAAAAACCAAAACTACCACCACCAACAAAAACCCGCAAACCAACAACCAACCAACCAACCAAACAAACAAACAAACAAAAACCAACCAAAAAAATCCCAACCAAACAACCCAAACCAGAAAATCAATGCAGGTTGTAAAATACTGTCAGGTTAGCACTGATTTTTACAACTGTAGAGCACACTGCTTTCTGGACTTCAGGTTTTATAACCAGTTTCACCATCAGTAACATTCAAAATTACAGAAATCATGATTCCCTTGTTCCTCTTCCTCTTCTAGTCAAATAATTTATACGGGCTTGACAAGGCTGATCCTAACTAGGTGGTGAAGCTTATTAAAATGTAATAACAGCTCACTATTATAAAAATTCCCAAGTATAGCCCAGGTCCGATTCCTTGTCTCTTACAGCAGCAATAAGCAGAGTAAAATACACCACCAATGTAATTTACCCCTGGTTATTCTGCTAGCCTCTTATTTCTAGTTCAGGGAACAGATCTGAAGTGAATCACCTTTTTTGCAAGCCCCTGCAGATCTGCCTCCTGAAGAACCCATCCATTTTCTTCTGGAATGAAGGTGAATTTCTTGTGCGTGTATTGGCCTTGAGCAGCATGATGCATTGAAATGGAGATGCCAATTGCTACTCTGCTGGAAGAGTTCTTCCTGCTTCCCTCACATCACTTAATAGCCTGCAGAGCATCCATGTGTAAGTGATCCAAACTTGGGACTAGACAGTAACATATTTGAGGTATCCAGAATACTACATTTTTTAATGTTTTTTACACCAATGAAAATAAATCCAGTACCCTGTTCTTAGAAATTTTACATATTGGTACTTCCTAAACCAACAAAAAGGAAGATGTAGTATTGAGCTACCTCTGCTGGAAGGGCACTCTGTTTTGTCCACATTACAATGGTAAAGACTTTTTCCTGCTGCATAGTAATTTAAACATAAAAATTTAATAGCCTGGATTTTAGTCCACCATGGATAGGCTTTGATTGAAGTAGTGAAGAGAAACAAGAAATCTTTGTGTGGTGTCTTTAAATTAATTTCTTAACTTTCTGCATCCCCTTGATAAAACCACTTCATCTCTCTGTGCCTCAGTTTCATCTCTATAAAAGGATGAATGTTTGTCAGTTTTTACTGTCTCAAACTGAAATAATATCTCAACAATATTATTAATAAATAATAAAGGAAATTATTGCTGAATTAGACCTAACCTTTCAATTGGTTATTTTTAAATTATTTTTTAATGGGTTTGTGTGTGTGTGTGTATTTGTTGTTTTGTTTGGGTTTAGGTTTTTTTTAGTACTCCTTCAAATATCATTTGAAGAAGAAGGAGTTTGAAACTATCAAAATAGGTTTTGAGATGAATACAGACAAGATCACCGCAAGCTTGTTCACCCAGTGTAAATATTGTTTACCCATGGAATAAATGGACAAGGCACAACCCTTAGAAATTTATTTAGGCTATTGTGGATGCTTGTTGATCAAATAACACCCCTATTTCTCCAAGCAAGACACCTGAAGGCTACCAGCATAAAATCAGACTACATGAATTGCCTTACAAAAAAAAAAAAAAAACAACAACAAAAAAAACCCCACAAAAACCACAGTTTAAAGCAACCTAAAGCCTCAAAAGACAACCCCAGAAGCCTCAGCCCATGGCACCTACCCCCACCCCAGCTGAACAGCATTGCAATGCTGCAAAAGCCTTGTGCATAGAAAGAGTCTCCTTTCAGCAGAAAGGAAGTCACTAACTCCAGCAGAGATGGAGCCTGAAATATTAGTTATTCTATCAACCAACATTTAAGGAATAGATTAGCATATTTTCTGCAGCTGGCACTTCCAGGCCTTACAGAGCATCTACTCTAAGCAGAGAATCCATGCTGACAAAGCGGTAGAAACTCAGAGCTGGCCAACAGTTCTGAATAGAAGAGGTAGTTTCTTACCGAGAAACAGTACATATCATATTCTTACAAAGACATGAACTTCAATGGTTTCTGTTAACCTTAGCATGAATTTTAAAATTCATTTCTCCACATCTCTTCCTAGCTTTTTCCACAAAGATATTTATGTTACTGCTGTTTAATCCTGCCGCTTATACCTCATCTTACAAAGGTGCCACAAGTCACACCACAAACAATGCTGCAAATAAATATTTCCATTTGTAGCAACTGGGTGTCATCAGTGAATAGGTGGGAATTTTATTTCTTCCCAAAACTTCCTGTCAAAACTCCCACAACCCCAAGAAATTAAACATTTAAAAGGTGCATCACAGAACAATAAAATTCTTACTGGGCAATAAATCTCAGATGTCTTTTATCTGTGACTTCAGAAAATACTAAGAATTTAATCTCATGTATCGCCATGAAAAAAAAATTTTTTTTTCAACCATGCAATTTACAAGTTTAGCTGTAAATGAACGCTAGAGGGAGGCAGTGTTTAAACCAGATCCCAGTTCTAGAGCTGAGTTGGCCATAGGGAAAAGGAGAAGCGCCAGTTCTTCCTCTCACCAATCTCAATGAACACACAATGTAATTTATGCCTGTTATTCTGTCTGATGTACAGCCTCCAAGATGTAAACTCAGTTGTACAGATGTTGTCTGAATCCACTTATCTAGTCCCTGAGTTACAGATTCTTGCTAAACTGTATGTTTTGTAAGACTGTTTAAAAATAAATCCAAATACAACTCTTTTTTATTCCCATGATTTATGGGTTCTGGGTTTTAAAAAAGGTTTAATATTATAAATAAAATGTGTTTCAGACAAGAAAGTTACTTTTACTTAGTTGAACTTCAGTGTAAATTTGTTTTCTTTATACTCTGGTACATTTTCAACATAAATGAGTTTTGACATAATCTCAAATAGTTATTGAATTACACATACAAAATCTTTTTGATAATGGGAATAATTCACAATGCTCTTTCCAAACAAAGTTTTCTTAAAGTACTTATACAATTCCTGGAGCAGAAATACACAGGACTTCCACTGGTCCAAGCTAGTCCAGGCACCAAATTTTCATTGACATGACAGGGATTTAGATGTCTAAGTACTTTGATAGACTTTGTTCTTCTTAATTTAAAAACCGTTTACATTGCTGCTCATGTGTTACTACCAAATTCTGCAGATTCACTGAAAAATCTTGACATCTGAAATATTATACTCAGGAGGAGAATAATATAGGATGATTACAAATGCACTGAAACTTTGGATTTGGGAAACACTCCTGACCACAGTACATTTGTTATTCTGTGTTTCTTAGAGCTTCAATTCCTTCTGTTCTGTGTCAGGTAAATACTCCTAGGAGTTCAGTCTGGTAGTATATAAGTCCTAGATCTTTTCTGAGTTTTATCAGCAAAATGACATACATAGATAACACAAGTGCCTGCCTGCTTTTTCACACCTACTCCAGTAAGTGGTATTAGCCTTTCATTTTAAAGGGCAATTCAGCAAAACATATAAAAAAGAAATCCAGGGAGATTGCAAAATATCATGGTTCTGGCTCAGATCAGCAGGAAAGGGGCATGGGCAAGACATTCTGTATTTGATACCACCTTATGTCACTGCCAGGGGCAGGGAAAGGGACTGTGTCTCTCTTATACGAAGGGCGTTCCTTTCCAGTTGGGAAAAATGTGGCTGTTGTCAGGTCAGGCCAGTCCCTGCAGTAAACCTTCTTGCATGTGAACCATTCTCTCTTTTGGTATACTTTTGTTATTAATATTGTTGCTATTACTGTTTGTTTCCTTATCTCAACCCACAATCTTTGTCTTGTGTGATCCCAATTCTTCTCTCCGGCCACTCTCCCAGGGCGGGGGGAACAAGCAAGTTTGCTTTGGAAAATCTCAGTGGGAGAAGTGAATCAGGGAGTACCATTCCTAAAACACAACACAAAAGCAAGAAATTAAGATTATAAAATAGATGAGGGGGATGAGGGGAAGAATTTACACCTTCTGAGTAGAGCAGAAGTCTCAGGCTGACATTCTGCAAAGAATTCCCAATAAATTACTTAGTGCTGAGGATAAGGCAGCCACTGAATATTGAAGATGTTTGCTCACAGAAATGATGAAAGACTGGCATCAATCAAAGTTAACTGCAGCATCTCTGTTCATGCTTTGTACCCTGGAGGACTGCCAACTTGTGCCTCAGGTGTACCTGATTATGAGGCCACAGAGGATTGTGATGATGACTGACACAATTGCATCCATGTTTGGCTTATGAAGGCCTCTTTGGTTTTGTCTCTCAGCTATTTTTTCTTTCCTTTCTAAATAAAGTCTGTCCTTTTATTTCTTAATTGGAGCTTAATAAATATTCATACATCATCAAATTTCAAAAGCCAAATCTTATTGCTGAGGCTAATATTGATGGCATTCCCTTTTTGTCTGAACTAGCTTATCAGGACCCTTTATTCCCCTTTAATAGCCCCATACCTCCTTTGGAGAGGTTAAGGAGCCAAATTAACTTTGAATCCTTCTTTAAAATGGAATATAACCTTATATTCAGCTGATGTGGAACAAGAAGGAAATCCCATTCCCTGACCATTACCACCTCTACAGTTCATTTCGTTTGTTATAACACAAAGGTTAAATATATTAAAAAATGCCCAAACAGCAAAACTTCATAAACAGCACATAATGACCACAAAATACTCATAGTTATTTATTGCATCTTATTAGCTTGTTCTCCTATCCCTAGATCATGCCAAAATTTAAAGGAAATCCCTAGCACTGGGGAGGATTTGTAGCCAAACGGTGTAGAAGGGAAGACTGTAAGAATTGCTGTAAAATGTAAGCTTCATTTAGCTTTGGACACAGGATATGAAGAAGTCCCCAGTGCATGCACCTCACCTGCAGTCTCAACCTGCAGCAAGACCTCTTCTGCTGGGACACTCCACAGCAGCCAAGTAAACATTAGTGGAAGATAAAAAGTAAGGAATTCAATTTCTTTTTTGGTACTATACAAGACAATGGTCTTGCAGTTCACTGTCTTCTCTTCAATAAAATAGCATGCTAATATCACATAAATGTGACCCTAGTGGTTTAGTTCTCAAGTTGTTTTTGAACTGCATCCCATAAGAGAAAAATCCCACATTTCTTCACCCTTAGGATGCTTCTCACCTTTCAAATACCTGCTATAAACAGTGGAATCAGCGTAACTTCGACAAAGTCCCAGGGGGTCTTTTGTCATAGGAGGTTTTAGGAATCACTATCAGCTTCTCTGTTATAGTCGCACACCTGTTAAACCAGTTAGAGAAGAAATCGTTACTGTTATCACAGGAATTTACATGATTTGACTCTCTTTAACACAAAAGATACAATAAATACCTCTGAAAAGATTCTTGCAAGGCATTTGGGAACTTGGAATTACTGTCTCAAACTGCTTTGCATTTTGCTTGCCTTCTCTGTTAGACTGGGACATAACTTTACATGTATAGGCTTATGCCTTCACTCTTTTTTACTTCAGTAGCAAGGGTGAGTTGGCGAGCAACTGCATACATGGCACTAAATGTGTCTCTGGTATAACACCACAGTATCAAGGTGTTGATTAGGAGGTATCATGTCTTTTGCTTCCAGTTCAGACCACCTGCTTTGAAAAGCTGTTTTTTTGTGTTGACTTTTTGTCTTCAATTTGTGCTTACATGTGGTGGTGAATTTTATACTTGGGTAAGTGACAGAGACTTGCTTTTCCTTCAAAGAGATGCAGGACCAATACATTCCCCCCATGATGACTAATACAGTCTAGCCCTAAACGGCACGTTCAGAGAGAGGTGCTTGTTGTCTCTGCACCTAAGTAAGTAGAAGTAATTCTACAATACTTCAGAGGAGTCCTCTGAAGATATATCCAGGAGAACCAGAGGATGACACACAGGTCTGCTCCTCAAGAATGCAGAGCTATGAAATAGAGGGTGCAAGTAGTGGTGGAACCTATGAGTAGTTTGTTTGACCAGTGACAAACTGTTTCTCTAAGCTTATGGATCAGCATTCCCTAACACAGCTGCCTTCTGCAGCTTAGATGGCACAGACTGTCATAAGTGTGTGGCTGCACCTGAATGAGCTGACTTCTCAAATAAAACCAGTATCATCACAATCCTCACAGTTACAGATCCCAGCCTTATTGTGATACTGGCTGAAGAAGCATACAGTTGGAGACATTAGAAGTTACATAAGAACCCTTAAATCACTGAACTGTTTCTTGTAATTTCTTTCTTCCATAGTATTGCCTATGACTTGCTGTGCTTCACTGGCACTTTTCTTGTTCCACAAGTTGATTTACAAATGCTGCAGAACACCTCTTCATTATAAAACTTACAACCGGAACAGTAAATAAAAAGCTGAGGAGCATTTCACAAGAAAATCTGATATGAGAAATGGGGACATAACTGCAGAATAGGTAGAGACAAGTGAAACTCAAAGACTGAACCCAATCTCAATTTAAACAGATGCAAAGATACTGGAAAATATGACACAACCCAGAGGTCTTTGACTCTTCCTGTTGCTTCAAGTGAGTACTTAACTCTAATTACATTGGTAACTATATAAAATCTGCTTGAAATGACATGGCTCCATACCAGTTTCAATGAAACAAATTTTCACAAATAAATGGTTATCACTTGGAATAAATGAGTTTTTCAACTCTGAAAAGCAGGTGGTAAAGAAACACAAAACCAAACAGCAAATAAGCTGCTAGGACAGTCTGGATAGGATAAAAACAAATTAAATGGACAGAACCATTTGATAAATGGGTATGCGTGTTAAAAACGTACATGGTCTATAAAACCCAATTTCAGTGTTAAGAAAAAGGTATCTTTTTTATTCTACAGAATTAGACTGGGGAACAAAAGAGAAGAGACCAGGCGCAACAGAAGTTAAAAAAAATCCTAGAATAAAAGGCGTGCTTTGCTTTGCTGGAAAAGCTCCATGTAGCCAGATACAGCTTGTTCATTCTGACCTGTACTTAAAGATTAATCCATAGTCATGGATGAATTGGGAAATGAATGGATTAGTAGGTACTTCCTACTTTGCCTGTTTCTGCTCATTTTGCTAGCTGTTCCTTCTGTGAGTAAACATGGAAGGTTTCTTCAGATATGAGAAAGCATGAACCATTGAAAAATCACACAATCCATGGTCTTTACAGTGGATCTTCAGAATGCAATGGAAATAAATGTCAATTTCTTTTTTTTTTTTTTTTTTTTTTTTTTTTTGGAAGCACAGTGTTTTCTAGAAAGCATGACAGAAAATCTAAGGCAAAAGGTACAGCCGTAGCTCATGGCCTAGATAGCACTCAGAAGCAATGTATGAGGAAAACGATACCATATTGTAGCCTTGACAGTTAAGAGCTCAGTCAGAATTACCAGTTTATATGTTGTTTAATATAATTTTTGCAGATGAAAGCAGCATGGAACAACATAATTGTGGATTGCATTAAAAGGAGCTACAAACAAAGAAAAAGGGAGGAAAAGGGAGTAACAGAAGAGAAGAACAAGGAAAAATCAAAAGACATAGAGAAATCTGAGGGATTGAAAAAGAAGAGTTTGTGAAGAACAGTTGAAGACTGAAAGAAATATGTAGGATGCAGCAAACATAGAAGTGTACACGATGAACCAAAACTGTTGCCAGATGGCATCAGTATCCCCTTCAACCTCCTAAAAGCTTAGCTTGAGCTGTTCCTGCATGCTCACTTCCTCTGTTGCCCTCTGAGCCAAAGGGAACTGTCATGCCTAGTCTCAAGTTCCAGCCAGCAGTGGGTTCTCACAGGTTCTCTATTTCTGTATAATCTAGAAGACATGACCTGAATTTAGGTTATGAGCCACCTAAGTGGATAGTAAATGGATTGTTTTGTTTTGTTTTGTTTTTTGCTTATAGTTTGTGCTGTAGTTTATAACTGTGCATCACTAGTTTAGCACTGCATCAACGTGCTATTATCTAAGCTGAAGTAGTATAGAACGTTACCATGTCTATGCTCTTACTTTTGCTGGATCAAACTGCTTCATCCATTCTTTTCACTGAGGATGATGCCCTAAGTTTTAGCTTTCCTATTTTCCACATTCTGTACTGCATTAGTGTATAACTCTGAACTTCATACAGGGGATTAGCAAGTTCTCCTCACAGTTTAGTTAGACAACACAATTCTCTTCCAGCCTGAGAACCAAGGGCACTGTTGCAGATTCAGGCCTAAAAAGTATAAACAACAGCAAATTGAGGAGAGCAATCTGGGAGGATGAGACTTCATAACCTGAAGCTGTAATAGGACAATTAACCTCAATATGCAAATGCACCAAAACTTATAACAGTGCAAAAAATCCTGACTCAATGTCCATCTTGGGTGGAGCCATTGTTCTCCCCAAGGTGTATCCTTTGAAGGTTTTTAAATAAATACCTATTTTATTTATTTATTTATATGTATTTATTTATCTTAAATATAAATTTATGTTCAGGTCTTATATTGGGCTGTGCTTCCTACCCTCTATCAATCCATTGTTTCTTGCATCCTCGAAACAGCTATTGGGAGAAGACAGATCAGGAATAGCTAAAATATTATGAACCTACTGACTGCCTCTGTCCATTTTAAAGTTAGTAATTCCCTTGAAACATTCAAAAGCACCACTGTCTTTAATGACAACTTGCCAATGAATGAAATTTTATTTTTCAGGGGATGCACACCATAGCACAGGTATTATTTTGTTAGAGAATCACATTAAAAATCCTTATTAAGTTGCTTCCCCTGACTGTAACAGCATTGCTGAATGTAGGAAACAAGACAATGGACTGATACAAAGTACTCCAAAACAAGAGCCATAACCATTGATTGTTTCCGACTGCAATGATAGAACGTTTTCATTCATCCACACATGATATCTGCACTCTGTTTTGTTTATATCCACGTAGTTTAATTCCTAACACCACTGACTCACGGGTGGCCCCAAGATAAAGGACAGAGAAGAGATTTCTAATGCTGCAAAGGAACATTTGTATCCAAATTTCTGGGTCAGCTCTTTATACAGAGGGCCATTGAAGGAATTTGCATTTCTCCACCTCTAGAACATCTAAGTAACCATACTTTTACATAACTCAAGTCCATCTCTGCATCTGCCATCTAACACAGGCAGTAAACTGTCCCCATGCAGTACACTTTTACTTTCAAAAGATCCATTCTGGGTAGAAATGATATCACATACATGCTTTTCCTTTCAGTTAAAAAATAGCATTTCCATGTGATTGGTAAGTTTTGTTTTGGAGGCAAATGATTACAGCTCACAGCTTTTATTGCTACAAGCAGAAGAGAAAGGCAAGATATGGACATAATTATAAGTTAGAACAATAAATTGGGACAGGAAAGTCTAACAGGAAGCTGGAACTGCTTCTTGCCGTCTGTTTCATAACTAGGCTGCCATATTAAATATCTTTGTGGAATAAACAGGGCAAAATAACTTCTTCCTATTGTAGATTCTATTCAAACTCTGTTCAAACCAGATAAGATAAAGAGGAGAGAATGTAAGGATTTTGCCAACATTTTCATCAGGGAAGCAGCCATTCCACTATAATTTCACCAGAGGCATTATGGTTATGAGCCTACACTGCAGTGAGTTTATGTTGTTATATTAATCAACACCATTAGAAATGTATTCCAACTACAGTTTTAATACAGAACAATATAAATGCAAAGTATTTTTATTATCCTTCCATCTGGTAATCTTCAAGAGTTTAGCAGATGTTAGGAAGCCAAGCTCCATAATTCATGATGACATAATGTTTCAGAAAATCAAAGCAAGTTGCAATCCATGCTGCTTTTCTGGGTCAGATATTTCATTTCGGGAGTTCACTGAATCACCAGGGCAGTTTAGTGAAATACACAGACCAGGACTGAGAGTGGTTCTTCAAGGTGAAATGAGCCTTTTCTCTTAATCAAATAATCTCTAATCTGTTTTAGAAATTATTTATATTGTCCTCAAATCTACACTACCCAAGCAACAGAGAGTAAAGGATAGATAAGTCTCACTTTTCCATGTTCAAAAGATGCTTTTCAAAGAGGGAAATGGAGGTAGAAATGTTAGCAAATAGAATAATTTAAAAAGCAAAGAATTACTGCTACTTCTAGAGGTACAAAAGGAGATCTCTGGCTTTTTGGCACTGGGACTTAATGTTTTCCTTTACTCATATTTTTAATATGTTCTGTTCAGTTCTAATGCCTGAGGAGTGTCCACAATTCCTGGATTGTACTTAAAAAAAATCTGAACCACTGATTCTTTAGGAGAACAGGACACCTTACTTGCAACATAGGAATTACAAAT